ATTCTCTTTTTCTCTACTAATTTGAACATGATTTCGATGCTTGATTCATTTTTACTTTGGAATTTTATACCATGACTCTTAAACCCATTTTGAGAAAATTTCATGCATTATTTAATTTTTACATGTTACAGTTGTAGGGCTCTACGCTTGGATAGGGCAGTGGAAAATAAACATTTTAATGTCCAATATGTCATTTTGACTTTTCGTCTTGGATTTGAATGTATTTCAGGGCAATGAGCCTAACTATTCTTGAGTCTCAATATGTCATGTCGTCAGTAGATTGCAGTATTGGCGAATACGTTCTTGTCTGGGGCGAATCCACTTTCCTGTACGTTTTTAGGCTGGTGATAATTACTTTTCTATCAATGGTCCAGTTTCAGAGTCTATATATATCAAATTGTGGCAAGAGCATCTCACATTCTCACATAATGGAAGGAACTTCTCGAGCTCTTTCTAATACCATAAAATTCATTGGTCTACTTGGTAGTCATGCTCTTGGTAGCAATCCAAGGTTTATGGCTACAGCGGTTGATCTAGGACGTGAATTGGTAAGGCGAAAAATCAGGCTTACCTACGGAGGAGGAAACATTGGCCTTCAAGGAGATGTAGCTTCAATAGTCTATAATAATGGTGGTAGAGTCAGAGGTTTCATACCAGGGTATATAGCAACACGAGGGGTCTATGGACCAACAGAAGAGTACTGTCATCTTGTTGCGACTTTTCACGTCAATAGGGTATACGAACGAGTCAATTATCTTAATGTTTCTATGTAGATTCACTCTAATGTGTTTCAGATTCGATACATATATCGTATTCGATCTGGTTTTGGAGACTCTGTTCGTGTTCTTAAAAACGACAAATTCACTTTTGGGGAATTTGTTCACTTTCTATCGGAGAAAATTCTTTCTTCAACGTATTCTTCGGCTTGACAGAAGTTGATTCACATCGTTCACTTAGCCATTTGCGTACTATGACATACGTATATGTCGCGCTTATCGGGTTTACAGTCCCTCTTCTTGATCTTCTGATGCCGACTGTGATCCTCGAAGAAAATTTCGAGGCAATCTAAACATTATTGTAATCGAGTCTATGAGGATACTAGCAACTCAAAGGAAGCAAGTTTTCAATGAGTTAAGTACGTGTGTTAT